GGTTCTTTGAGAACATCTTGATGTTCCTCAAGAACATTTTGGGTTCTTAGAGGAAACCCCGACATTCCTCAAGGAGGTTTTTGGGTTTTTTGAGGAAACCCCGATGTCCCTCAAGGACATTTCGGGTTCTGTGAGGAAACCCCGACGTTCCTCAAGGAGGTTTTTGGGTTCTGTGAGGAAACCCTGACGTTCCTCAAGAACATTTTGGGTTCTGTGAGGAAACCCCGGTGTTCCTCAAGGACATTTTGAGTTCTTTAAGGAAACCCCAACATTCCTGAAGGACATTTTGGGTTCTGTGAGGAAACCCCAATGTTCCTCAAGGACATTTTGGGGTTCTTTAAGGAAACCCCGACGTTCCTCATGAACATTTCGGGTTCTGTGAGGAAACCCCGACGTTCCTCAGGACATTCTGGGTTCTTTGAGGAAACCCTGATGTTCCTCAAGGACGTTTTGGGTTCTTTGAGGAAAACTCAGTGTTCCTCAAGAACATCTTGAGGTTCTTTGAGAACATCCTGATGTTCCTCAAGAACATTTTGGCTTCTTAGAGGAAACCCCAACGTTCCTCAAGGAGGTTTTTGGGTTCTGTGAGGAAACCCCGACGTTCCTGGGGTCAGGTGAAACAATGGAGTTTGGGTCAGGTGGAACATGGGGTGTGGGGTTCGGGGTCAGGTGACACCGTGGGGTTCGGGGTGTGGGTTTAGGGTTGAGGTTTTGGGTGTGGGGTTTGGGGTCAGGTGAAACAATGGGATTTGGAGATCTACAGGAGTTGTGAGCAGGGTTAGGATCAGGATCAGGATTGGGGTCAGGATCGGGATTGGGGTCAGGATCGGGATTTTGGGGCCGATCTGATCCCAAGTTTCCGTGGCAGGAACAGCAGTCAGGATTGGGATCAGGATTGGGGTCAGGGTTGGGGTTGGGATTTTAGGATGGTTTCTGATCCCAGATTTCCGTGGCAGGAATTTCGAGCAGTGTCGGGATTGGGATTAGAATTGGGATTGGGATTTTGGGATGGCTCCTGATCCCGGATTTCCGTGGCAGGAATTGCAGTCGGGATTGAGATTTTGGATCCGATCCTGATCCCAGATTTTGTGGCAGGAATTGTGAGAGGTGTCGGGATCGGGGTTGGGGTCAGGATTGGGATTTTGAATCCGATCCTAATCCCAGATTTCCGTGGCAGCAATTGCAATCGGGATTGGGATTTCCATGCAGGAACTGCGAGTGGTGTTGGGATAGGGATTAGGATTGAGATTGGGATTTTAGCATGGCTCCTGATCCCAGATTTCCGTGCAGGAATTTCAGTCGGGACTGGGGTCAGGATTGGTATTTTGGATCCCATCTTGACCCCAGTTTCCCTTAGGAGCTGCGGGCGGTGTCGGGATCAGGATCAGGATTAGGATTGGGATTTTGGATCCCATCCTGACCCCGGGTTTCCTGCAGGAGCTGTGGGCGGTGTCAGGATTGGGATTAGGATCGGGATTGGGATTTTGGGTCCCATCCTGATCCCAGATTTCCTATAGGAGCTGCGAGCGGGATTGAGATTGGGTTTGGGATTTTGGATCCAATCCTGATCCCAGTTTCCTTTAGGAGTTGCGGGCAGTGTCAGGATTGGGATTGGGTTTGGGATTTTGGATCCCATCCTGACCCCAGATTTCCATGGCAGGAATTGCAATCAGGATTGGGATTAGGATTGGGTTTGGGATTTTGGATCCCATCCTGACCCCGGTTTCCTTTAGGAGCTGCGGGCGGTGTCGGGATCAGGATCAGGAGTAGGATCAGGATTGGGATTGGGATTTCGGGTCCCATCCTGACCCCGGTTTCCCTCAGGAGCTGCGGGCGGTGTCGGGATCAGGATTGGGGTCAGGATTGGGGTCGGGATTGGGATTTCGGGTCCCATCCTGACCCCGGTTTCCCTCAGGAGCTGCGGGCGGTGTCGGGATCGGGATTGGGGTCGGGATTGGGATTTTGGATCCCATCCTGAATTCCCAGTTTTGGGATCTGAAATCCCCACAATTCTAAATTTTTGGGGTTCAAAGTCCCCAGAATTCCCAATTTTTGGGACCTGAAATCTGCATAATTCCCAGTTTTGGGATCTGAAATCCCCACAATTCTAAATTTTTGGGGTTCAAAGTCCCCAGAATTCCCAATTTTTGGGACCTGAAATCTGCATAATTCCCAGTTTTGGGATCTGAAATCCCCAGAATTCCCAATTTTTTTGGATATGAAATCTCCAGAATTCCCAGGTTTGGGATGTTAAATCCCCAGAATTCACAATTTTTGGGGTTCAAAGTCCCCAGAATTTTCAATTTTTGGGATGGTAAATCCTCAGAATTCCCAATTTCTGGGATCTGAAATCCCCAGAACTCCCAATTTTGGGTCCAAAATCCCCATAATTCCCATTTTTGGGGTTCCAGAGTCCCCAGAATTTGCAATTTTTGGGATCTGAAATCCCCAGAATTACCAATTATGGAATCTGAAATACCCAGAACTCCCAATTTTGGGGTCAGAATTTCTGATTTTGGGGCTATAAATTTCCCAATAATTCTTAATTTTTGGGTTCCAAAATCCCCACAATTCCCAATTTTTGTGTCCCAAACCCCAGAATTCCCAATTTTTTGGCCAGAATTCCCAATTTTTGTGTCCCAAACCCCCACAATTCCCAATTTTTTCAGGAACTCCATAAACACCACCAGGAACTCCATAAACACCACCAAGAACTCCATAAACACCATCAGATCCTCCACAGACACCAGCAGGGACCACAAACACCAGAAACACCACCAGGAACGCCATAAACACCACCAGGAACTCCACAGACACCACCAGGAACGCCATAAACACCACCAGGAACTCCACACACACCACCAGGAACTCTACAAACGCTCTCGGCCACTCCCTGACCCCATTCCCACATTTCCTGACTCGTGTCCGGTTCATGGTCACTCCTGGTCACTCAGTGGTCACTGTGATCAATCAGTGGTCACTCAGTGGTCACTGTGGTGATTCATGGTCACTCAGTGCTCACTTATGGTCACTCAGCCATGGTCAGTGGTCACTGTGGTCACTCCCCAGGTCCCGGGAGGACGAGGAGGGTCCAGAGCAGGGCAGGGCTCCTGGTCACTGTAATCAATCAATGGTCACTCAATGGTCACTGTGGTCACTCCCCAGGTCCCGGGAGGACGAGGAGGCGCTGCAGCAGGGGCAGCGGGTGCACGAGGAGGGTCCAGAGCAGGGCAGGGTCCTGGTCACTCATGGTCACTGTGGTCACTCAATGGTCATTCATTGGTCACTGTGGTCACTCGATGGTCACTCCTGGTCACTGTTGTCACTCCCCAGGTCCCGGGAGGACGAGGAGGCGCTGCAGCAGGGGCAGCGGGTGCACGAGGAGGGTCCAGAGCAGGGCAGGGCTCCTGGTCACTCAGGGCTCACTGTAATCGATCAATGGTCACTCAGTGGGCACTCAGTGGTCACTGTGGTCACTCCCCAGGTCCCGGGAGGACGAGGAGGGTCCAGAGCAGGGCAGGGCTCCTGGTCACTCAGTGCTCACTGTAATCGATCAATGGTCACTCAGTGGTCACTCAGTGGACGGGGGCCGGGCTGGGGGTGGGATTTGGGGCGTTCCTGCCCCAAAAACGAGAGGTGGGATCCAGGAAGGGCTGGAGAAGGGCCAGGGTTGGGTTTGGAGAAGGTCCTGAGGTCCCACCAGGATCAGGGAGGGTTTGGGGGTCCAAAGGAACCTGGAGAAGCTCCAGAACCTTCCATGAGGTGCCACCAGGCTCAGGGAGGGTTTGGGGGTCCCAGGGAACCTGGAGAGGCTCTGGAACCTTCCAGAGGTTCTTCCATGAGGTCCCACCAGGCTCAGGGAGGGGTGGGATCCAGGGGGACCTGGAGAACGCCAGGGTTGGATGTGGGAGAAGCCCCTGAGGTCCCACCCAGCTGAGGGACCTGGAGATCTCCAGGGTTGGGAGTTCCCACCCTGAGGTCCCCCCAGGCTGGGGGATCTCCAGGTTGGCTCCGGTTCCTCAGGACAAAGCCACTGGAGGATCCCACGGGGGCCACCACGGCTCTGGTGGCTCCCAGACCCCATGGTGACCCCATGGTGACCCGTGGTGGCTCCCAAGACCCCGTGGTGACCTCGTGGTGACCCGGTGGTGGCCCCAAGGTGCTCCATGGTGGCCCTGTGGTGGCTCCCAGACCCCGTGGTGGCTCCCAGACCCCGTGGTGACCCCGTGGTGGCCCTGTGGTGGCTCCCAGACCTTGTGGTGGCCCCATGGTGACCCGTGGTGGCTCCCAGACCCTGTGGTGACCTGGGGGTGGCCCCGTGGTGGCTCCGTGGTTGCTCCCAGACCTCGTGGTGGCCCCGTGGTGACCCTGTGGTGGCTCCCAGACCTCATGGTGACCTGGTGGTGGCCCATGGTGGCCCCGTGGTGTCTCCCAGACCCAGTGGTGACCCCATGGTGGCCCATGGTGACCCCGTGGTGGCCCCATGG